AGTAACGAAAATGAATATTATTCTATTGAACAAATTGCTAAAATGGAAAAGTTAGATAGTATGCTTAAAGAAACATTAAGAGTATATGCCGGTATGAATGGATTTTTGAATTCCAAATCAAGTTACATTTTTTTTTTTTTTAAAAAAAAAAGGCTGGAACAAATAAATCCTATTTTTTCTTGTTTTAGGTGTATTACCACATAAATTAATATCCCCGTATTATACTTTTTCAAGCGGACATCAAGTTCCAAAAGGTAATTCTTTTATTCATATTCTGTTTAAGAGAAATATTTGAACTAAAATTGTTAAAAAATTTACAATTTAATGATATAAATTAGGTCGAAACGTTTATATTCGTGTACATGACATTCATAATGATGATAATTTATATGGTCAAAATTCGAAAGAATTTGATGCATTCCGACATTTGAAAAGTAAATCGCCTGCGTCACGTATTGAAAAGAATTTCTTAACGTTCGGTAATGGTAAACATGCTTGTCCGGGACGTTTTTTTGCGGTAAACGAAATTAAAGTTGCTTTGCATCACTTATTATTGAAATATAATATTCGAAAAGTTGGCGATGGAAAAATTAAACCAATAATTATGGGACCTATGATGTTTCCAAATCAAGAAGGGATAATATTTGAAAAGAAAAAGACCATTGTTAAAGATGGTTATAAAAATGAGCAAGGTTAACACAGTAAATAAGACCATTCGGTGACATTAGCTCTAAATATTAATTTGGTGCACATTTTTGAAATGATATTATTTACGTATTTAGCATGTACTAGGTTTAAATAGGTTATTTGTAACACGTTTAGAATTTATCGGTCATTTACTATTTGATGATTTTTGCTAGTATAATTAGTTACTAATCATTTATTTTGTTATTTATGTCAAATTGTAACAATTGTGTTTTGAGGAATTCTACCTTTCGCAAGTGCTGATAGAGGGTAATTGATTACCTTTGGATGAAATATTTGTGTCATTTATATTATCAAAGAAAAAAACTTTTTTGGGATAAACAAGACGCGTAAAAGAAAAAAAGAAATATCATTTGTTCTTATGAAAAATGGTTTAATAAAAGCTAAAAAAAAGTCTAAATTAAATTATTTTGTGTAAACCGATAAAACAGCTACTCGGCACAACGTGACCTCGTGACTATTACTTATCGGTCCTCTTGACTGAGCTCAAAATTAGCTTAGGAATTAAATTAAAAATTTCAGATTTCCCCTTTTTTTACTGACTCCCTCCCAAATGCTTTTTTTTTTTTTTTTTGATTTTTATTGATCATTTAACTAATCAAGTTTGGTTTATTTAACTTCAACGTTGTTTATGGAGCTATCGAAGAAAATTCTATTACTAAAGATCTGTGTCGAAAGGAAAGTTCATTGTTAGAGTTAAATGAACGGATAGGGTAATTGATTCAAAATTTAATAAAAAATTCAATGGGATGTTTCGCAAGAATCTCATGAATGTCTTCCATAATTTAAATTTTTAAACAAGGTCAAATTAAACAAGCAATAAATACAAAAAAAAAAAAGAATCTTTTTCAAATATCTAATAAAGTTCTGAAAATAAAAAACGTATTCATTTTACTCAAATTAGACAGAGTTCTTTGTAAAAATACTGATCCTTAAATAAACGCGCGTTGTTAATAATTTTACCCACGTGACCAATTTGTCGAGTAACTGATTGGTTTGGTAGTGCAATTTGAATACATCTCGTGCTAAAAACGTATCTTAACTTTAACAGTGTAAATCGTTCGTGAGGTAATTACAAAATAAGATGTGAATTTCGATCCAATTAGTAGTCAGATAACGTCAAATTCACCTGAGAATCGAACTCAGCCTCTACCCCTAGTGATAGTTCGATTGGATGATGCTGCAGCGTGTAATGCAGTCTATTATCACCATAGCCACCCGTAAGGTGGTACCTAATCTACTAATTACTGGTAAATCACTTCCTTACTTGTGTAAGGGCCCCTGAAAACCTAATTTTCCTATAGCAACTTTCCCATATAGAGTATATAATATTTTTTTAAAAAAAAAAAAAATTAGAAAATCAATGACCAAATGAAAAAGTATTGGCTAGTAATGAAATTGCTGATGGCGATGCGCGTCCAAGTAAACATGCAGAGCAGACAATAATATACTATTCACGATAAGAAATTTAAATTTCGTAAATAGTGTAAATAGTTGTGCAAACTTTATTATTTACTAGTATTGTTGATTTCCGATACTAGAAAAATATGAACGTGCAGGTTCGTGGTTTCTTGCATCATTTTCTTGTACCTCTTTCGGTATGAAATACTGTTCAGAAATTGTAGCACAAAACCTGCACCGAATAGTAAGATTCTTTGTTCATTATATTTTATTTTCTTGAAAAAATTATGATATTCTTGCAAGAAGTGTAAAATCAAAAATAATATGAAGTTAAATATATATAACTCGAAATTTTTTGGTGGCGTTTCGGTATCGGGCGCAGCTACGAATCGGATAATTATTTTTTTACATATTTAATACTTACCCAAATCGCCTAAAATCAGTTTAATTTATAAATACTTACAGCTGTTTTCATATTTTTCGGGACAAACAAATTTTGAACCTGACATCCGATCCGATATGCGGATATCACGTGTTTCTGGATTTTGTACTAAAAATAAACAAACTAAATAAACTATAACCGATAAACAAATACCGGACACTAGCAATCGCATATTCGCGTATTACAATCTGTAAACAAAATGTTTATAATCACATGATCTGATACCCGCTTATCGGATCGAGTGACGGGTTCAAAATTTGCTTTGTCCCGAAAAATATGAAAACAGCTGTAAATAAAACTACTTTTTCAATTTTTAGGCCGTATTTTAAGTATCGGGTCTGCGCCCCAAATTGAATAAAAAGGGTTCCTTCGAATAATCAAGTTGACGCCACGCGTTCGGACAAAGAAGAAATTCACGTGATTATCGTTTTTCGCTCCGGAAAATAAATTTTATGGCGAATCGTGTCAAATTTACTTATTTATTTGTAATTAATTTTGATTATTTGAAATAAAATACATATACTTTTTTTTATATACTTATAATACATAATTATGAAAAAAGAAAACCTTAATATAATATAACTATTTATAACCTTAATCTAAAATCTCGAGAATTTTTTTTTTTTTTTTATTATCCTATAAACCGAATACTATAAGTTATAATAAATCACTTTATTATAGCAGATGATAATAAATCGAAGATTTTTGAATCAATCAAAAGTTAAATACCTTAATTACGGATTAAAGAATGCACATTCTATATTATTTTCTGACCTTTTTAATTTTTTATCTCTCTTACAAATAGAACAGGTTTTACAGTTGCAATTAATATATTTAATTGAAATTTTTTTGGAGTCCTGTTTTAAAAAAGCTGGACCGCTTGATTTCTTTGTAGAATATAAGCTAATAAATCTCACATCAGGTTTGTTGTTATGATTAATATATGGCTTTTTAAAAAGTGAATGTTCAAAAGGGATTGTGCCAAAAGCGTTAGGTTTAGAATAATTTGAAATGATAAGTGTATAAAAAGTAAAGTTGGGTAAATTTACATAACGTTTGTTTTTTAAACAATAAGAAAATGTACATAAGCCAATTTCTTTTTTCGTTTGATTATTAAAAAAATGATGACCTATAATTAAAGATTCATTAGAAGAATCTAATTTATTTAATACAGGGATTCCTAAGCAAGGAGGATTAACATTTGAATCGTAAGAAAATTCTGTATCAAACATCATAGTTTGATTATTTGACGCACTAAAATCTTTTTCAATTATTTTCAATTGAACATCAAAATCCGTAAGGAAATTTAGATCCGTATTATAACCAATGACCATCCATCCAATTTTCAATTTACATAGTCGCTTTCTGAAATTTTTCTGAATACAATGTATTGTAATGCTTGGTTTTCCATTTGTTGGGTAAAGGATTTGACAATGAAAGAATTCATTTTTGGATTTCTCAACGTCAGCAACTGTTGCAAAAATGTTACAATCGGCTTCTTTGTCTCGAAGAATCTTTGAGATATTTGTCGGTATATTTAATTCAAAAACCACAGGTCTTCCGAATTCCTTTAAACTATAATTAAAATTTTCAATCTTTGAGTAATGAATTCTTTTTCCAAGAGAATAAGTGTTTTTTCTACGTAAATAGTCAGGTAAGAGTTGAAAGATACTGATGGGGTTTCGGAATTCTATGCAAGCCCAATTTTTGTAATCTGTTAAAGATTTAACCCAAGATTTTTCGTCAAATTCTTCAAATCTATCAGGTTGCTGCCCTCCAATTAAACTTATAATGTTTATACAATAACCACTGGAATCGTTTGATGTTTCACTTAACCTTGCGCATCTAGTATTGTTTTCTTCAAAATATGCTCTCCCGCCTAAAGTAACTTCAGTCGGAATGAATTGACCAAATTCCTCGGTAATTTTCTTAAATTTCGCTGGGTCTCCAGATTTGCTGGCATCTTCTATCGCGCTGATAAAATCCTCAGTTGGTTCTAAATACTCTCTGAATTTTAGTGACACCTTTCCATACTCTGCATATGTTTCAGATTCAATATTACTATTTCGTAACTTTTCATCAGTTATTCCCAGATTTATAAAACTCTCTACATTAGTATCGTTCATAAAGAATAAATTCTTCATCATCATTCGATCTTTACTTGAATTAAATTCAATTTTTCCTTTTCGACATCCCTCGGCACCAATTTCGGTCATTTTACAATCTTTCATTATAAATGCTTTTCGATAGCCTTTCTTAATTCCATCAAAAGTCATGGTACATCCATAATCTAAATGATGGGTTTCGTTGAGAAATTCCCAGTCTTGATTCGAATTTTTCATTAAATATAGAGTCTTATTATTTCCTTCTATAACATCATTTAGAAGAGAATTTTCTTCATTTTCAAGTGGTATTCCAGAATATTCGGATTCAGCAATTTTCTTTGAAAAGAACATTGTATCATTAATGATACCTTTTTCTTTGAGTTCTTTACGAATAATGGATAAATTATCCGTTAGATTTAAACCTAGTTTGAAATGCTTCGTAGGAGTTTCGTTTATGATTTGAACCATTATTTCAACATTGTTGTTAAAGATATTTGTAAGATCAAACATTTTGTGATATTTTTTTTTTACGCGGGATACTTGCTCTTTTCTTGTTTATCATTTTCTTTTATCTTTTTTTTCTAACTTTAATTTTAAAGTTTGTGAAACGCCCGTAGACAATGAGAGGGGGTTTTCTATAAGGCCCAATTTGGTATATGATTAGCCTGACAAAGAACTTCTATAAATATACTTAATTTCCTTTGTATTTTTTTTTTTTTTTTTTTTTTCATTCTAGTACTAATTAGGCTTTACGAAAATGCAATGCAAAAATTATCTAAAAACATTATTTTTTTTTTTTTTTTTTTTTCTTTTCGAAAGCTCAATTCTTTTTTTTTTTTTTTTTATATAATTTTCTTAAACTTAAAATAAAATGACCACAAATTTAGAAACAAACTACCCACCTTTAGATTATTATTTAAACCCTAATAAAAGCATAACATTTTCATATGAAAAAGATAATGATTCCTTTCAACAAGGAATACTTTGTGAAGACGCAAAAAGTTACTTAATCGGCTATTTACATCTTAATTATCAAAAATGTAAAAAAATCAAACGGGTTAGCTTGCATTTAAAAGGACTAGAAAAAACTTTATGGATTAAGGCGGAATCAATAAAACCCTGTGGAGGAGAGCGTGTACTTGTTGATACGACTCATGTAATTTTTCAACCAGGAACGGACGTTTTAATTGATCAATTAAAGGTTCGATTTAAAATAAATTTACCCGATAATCTTCCAGGAACAATCGAGACAAGATTTGGATCCGTAAGTTATAATTTACGCGCTATCGTAACCAGGAAGAGCGGATTATTTCATTCTAAAGATGATATAGTTGAAATCAAGTGCCCACTTAAAACTACCATAACTTTGAATTATACAAATGTTTCTCCTCATAAAATCGAAGGTACACAAAATGGTTTGGTTTATGTATTCGATTTACCACCAAAAAAATATTTTCAACTTGGAACTTCTGTTTCGATACCAATGAATATTTATTTATTAGAATCAAACGTTATGATCAGGAAAGTTGAAATTTCCTTGAAAAGTTGCATGAATTTTTATTGTGACCAATCGAATGAAGGTTTTGATAAGGAAGAACAAGTTATCTCGCATATTTTACAAGGGAAGAATTTAAAACCAATTTCAGAATATAATGAAA